CCTGCCCACACTCGGGCACTGGGACGTCTCAGGCAGAATGTTCCCACAGGTAGAGGGTTACATCCAATGTTGGGCTCTGGATGGGAACTCAGGCAACCTAAACACCACCCCACTGGGTCTGTCCACCATCACAGCAGCCGTATGTACCTCTTGCTGTCCTGGGGCCTGCGGAGTCCTTTGGAGGAAGCATCCCTCCAGGCTTTCGGGCTCAGCTGAACACTTGCCCTGGCTCATCCCATATCAGCCTTGCTGCTGCCTCTCATCTCCCCTTTTCCTGCCAGGACCAGTCCCAGGTCCCGGGCTTTTCCCACACGTGTAGCCGGGATAATTTACCTGGTTGGGACTCTTCCCAAACAGGACTTTATTCCAGAGGGAACATGAAACTGAAGTCCGGGACATTCAGCCAGGCCCTGGCACGAGAGTCTGAATCCAGGGAGAGCAGAGCTGTAGTAAAGGCAGTGCTCAGTGTGCATTACACCCCTGAGGCTGCTACGACTCTGTATAGCCCTGGGTGGGGGCTGGGGCTGGGGCTATGGTTGGAGCTTAGGAATAAGACCTGGGATTGGAGCTCTTCTGCCATTAATATGGGATGGGATGGGATGGGATGGGATGGGATGGGATGGGATGGGATGGGATGGGATGGAATAGAATAGCAGCCAGGCTCAGGATTGGCTTGAAAGACTCCTCCAGGCCAGCGAGCTGCAGAGCCACACTGAGTGTGAGAGGATGTCTCCAGGGCCACTGATGGAGGGGGACAGTGGGGAAGGAAGCAATGGGTTCACACTGTAGGGGCAGGTGGCTCTCCTGATTGGTTGATCTCAAGAGAAGCTTTGTTGGACTAGAACTATATTCTGTAGTAAACAATTTTACAAATGTTTGGGAGCATTTTTGGATATCTCGGTGAATGGGGTAGTGTGTAATGGCCCCAAGATGCTCTGTGTCCTGTGCTGTGGGACCATGCCATGCACTGAAGAATTGTCCTGCCCCAAAGCCAATAGCGTCCTCCTTGAGAGACAGTGGAGGGAGAAAAGAGTTAACCCTGAGGTTCCAATGTATCACTGGTCAGGAAAATACCAACTTTTAGAATGCAGTAAGTGACTTGTGTAAAAATACAATGATGAAAGGTGCTGGGAGGTTTTTAAATGTATCAAAGAGAGACCCTGGCTAAAGGAGGCTGCACTCTAATATGTGTACAAAAATACCTCTCTACAAGGCAGAAGGCTCTGCGTCCCACGTGGAAGCGGCAATAGCTAAAGTGCTGTCGGAGGGGAGGGATTCCGTTGTGGCGGACAAGCTCAGGGATCCTGGACACCCCTGTAGCCTTAGTGAGGGTCTTTCTCAACTTCCACGTGGCCACAAAACACCTCCATCCAGAGGTCCCTGTCGAACCAGGAAGTCCTGTTAAGAAGTTCTGGTTTGGAAAAAGAATCATGGGCTCTGTTTAGCTTCACTCGGAAGGTTTACCTTTTAGAGGTGGTGGAGCCTCTCCTGTGCAGATTTTGTCTCGGAAAGCACAGAGGTCCACAGAAAGGGACCCACATTTGATTCTGGGTCCTTTGGTGAAAGACACTTGGACGTGCCCAACCCCACAGTGGGCAGGTTACCCTTCTGGTACCTCCTTAGGGAGCACCCACCCATGCCCTTCAGTGGATGGCTTGGTTTCTGAAGGTGGCATCCTCCCCATTGGTTTTACCTTTGCAGCTTTCTGAGGAATCCTTTACAAGAAAAGCGGAGGGGGCTTAGATTTGGTGCAGGTGTCTGAGGAAGCCTTTGTAAGAAAAGTGGAGGGGTCTTGTATTTGGTGCAGGTAGAAAAGCAGAGGGGGCTTGGAAAGGAAGGGGGAGTAATTTAGGTCTACAGGAAGCTTTGTGTCTGTCCAAACACTGCATATCCATGAGCTCCTTGGCTACTAATGTGTTGGGTGATACTGTGTGAGGTGGGTGATGTTCTCTGGATTTTGCAGATAGTGGAGGTGAGGTGTCCAGGCTGTGACTTGCCTAAGGTCACACTGCTGGCCATTGTGAGTGGCAAGCTCCTCTACTTCTGTACCCCCAGCTTCTTCTATCCTGGTCTTACTGTCTTTGCGGTCACAGCACTCTACTCTTATAATTTCCTTAACCTGTAACCACCCCTGAGTTATGGGACTCTCAGCAGTAAGAAATTTTCAAATTAAAAGCATTGAATGTTTTTGGCCCAGTGAAATGCTGCTCTAATGATTTTCCCAGAGAAATTACAAACTCCGAAGGAAAAATAAGACAAGTGAGGACACAAATAAACATAATGCAGAATGTGGGAAGTGCCCTCAGAAAGTCACACTGAGCCCTGGCTGAGGGGCTCGGTTGGCTGGAGCATCTTCCCGTGCACCAAAAGGTTGCTGGTTCAATCCCCATTCTGGCGCATGTGGGAGGCAACTGATCCATGTTTCTCTCTCACATCGATGTTTCTCTCCCTCTCTCCCTTCCTCTCTCTTGAAAAATCAATTTTAAAACAAAGCAAAAAACATCCTTGGGTGAAGATGAAAAAAAAGAAAGTCACACCAAAAATGCTGAACCACTGTCAAGGGACCTCATGGGGTGAGCAGGAAAGACTGCAAGAAGAGAGGCAGATATTGATGGGTGCACATGTGGAGTAAGGACACAGACTTTATGAAGCCCCTTTCTGGTGCATCGTTCCATTTGATTTTTGCCCAAATCCATCTTACCCTATGTGGAAGTGTCCGTAAACAGAATGGCCTGTGTTTAAGACTTAGGGGCTGGGGCAGAAAGAGCCTGGGGAAAATGCAGTAGCCTTTGCATGTATTAAAAACAAAATGCACCTCCGATTTGCAGCGTATCACCTGCAGCTCCTCCTCTTCCTAGGCCTCTGGTGTCACGATCAGTCAGGGCTTAGGAGTTCTCTTGACATGTATTGTACGTGAATGAAATAATTAAAGCAGCATTTAGCTGGACAAATACCCTTAAATGTTTCCATGTTTAAGGCTTGCTGTTAGAGATGGGCAGTAATTAGGTGGGTTTGGTTCACAGTCCCTCTGCCAACTGGAAGAAGGGGAACAATTTCTGCTCAGTTAGTGAAGGGAAAGTGCACAAGTACCCTTTCCCTCCCTCCTGAGGGGGATCCGCACATAGCGTGAGCCTGTTGAGGGGAGCTGTGGACATCCCCAGCCAGCTCTGAGCGGAAGAGATGCCGTCATTCCCCCTTTGCCACCACATTTGTGACAGGCAGAACCAATGAAAAGGGCAAGGGGCATGGAAACAAAGCCTAGTGGTGTTTGCCAGGCTGGGAGGAGGGGAGCATGGTGAATGACTGGTAACGGGTACGGGGTTTCTTTTTAGGGTGATGGAAACGTTCTGGGACTCGCTATTGAGGACGGTTGCAAAGCTTTGTAAATGTACAAAAAACTATTGAATGGTACACTTTAAAGGGGTAAATTTTTACAGTGTATGAGATATATCTCAATAAAGCTGTTATTCAGAAAGAGAAGGTGAGACATTACCTCTAACTGGCCACTTTGTTATTTGCTCTATTCTTACCCCTGCTCTGAGGCCCATAGCTATGTTAGAAACCTTCCCCCAAACCAAGATAAGTGTTTACAAAGGCAGGGGAGGGGCAGTGAGCTCAGATTCCGTTTTCCTCTTATCCCAGGGAGCTGAGATGAATGGCCTGGGAGGGAAAGGGGAAACTGAGGCCCACGGGAGCATAGGGTTGTAGTGTTTGGGGGGAGTAGTGCTAAGAGAACCTACTTCCCAGGCTCATTGTGTGTCTGCCACCCACCCATGGTCCTGAGATTCCACAGGACTCATTTCTTTGGATAAAATTCCTAAAGGCCCCCTTGAAATGGCAAAGGTGCTCGAGGAGAAGGGATACAATCCATTTCCTCCCCGTTAATCCTTCAGTATCACATTAATTACTAGCATGCTGATACTAGAATGAGGGAGATTATCTGAGGGACTGCAGTCACTGGGCAAGGCCAAGGGTGAGGGGAAGGCACCGTCTCAAGGCAGCAGTAATTTATAGATGAGCTGGCTGTACGCCTCCTCTGAGGATGCAGAGTTATAGAGCCCCACGGGCTGAATTCACCCTCAGAGGCAATTAGACTGGGAATTCGGAGTCTCCGTGGAGGAGAATTATGCTGCATCAGAATATCGGACATGAGGTGTGGGCATCCCCCAGAAACAGATAAGGAGTGAGGAGCATCGCAGGGGGTCTCTGAAGTGAGGCAGCTTTCCGGAGAAAGGGCCGGCCCCCCTAAATAATAGTGTCTGTGCTCAGTGAAAAGCCTGCCTTTGTTTAAGTGGAGATCCCGGAGGCCAAGGGGTAAACAGAAGGCCCTCAAAGATTTCCCTCCAGAACACACCAAACCAGCCCTTACGCAAGAATAGTGACATTATAAATATTCTTTGTTTTACCGGCATTGCTGGACCTTTTCTTAACTGAGGGCCTTTGATACTCTAATGATCGGAGGGGAAAAGTCAAAATCTGCTTCAAAGAGAAATATGGTTCCTTCTAAACTAGACCGAAATGTGTGAACAGTGTTATCTCTAGGGTTAGGGTGTGGCCTCTTTTTATTTGCTAATGTATACTTTTCTGCATTAAAAAAATAGCTTTCAGTGAGCTGTATTAGTTTTAGTTTTAGAAGAAGAAAACCGACATTTAAAGACCAAGCTGCCCTCCAGGTAAGGCTCCCTCTCAGCAGCAGCGACCTGGAGCAGCAGGTGCTCGGGCAGAAGCCCCTATGAGTGGTTTTGCCTCTGGCCAGTCCTCCCGAGGGGCCTTCAATCCCTCCTTTACCCTCAGTCTTCCAGCCGTGATTCTGTAATTCACCCAAACACTGAAATTCTCAGTGGGCATCAAGAGAGGACAACATGCCCCAGAACGGTTTTGCTGCTCTGAGAAGGGCTTTATTCGAGAAATATTGACCCCATGGGGCACTGAGATCACCCATGGCCCTCTCATGGCCAAGAGGCAGGACCTGTCACCTGATACACCTCTTTTCCCTGCAGGTGGGCCTACCATGATTTCTTCAACCGGTATCGGATGCTGATGAAGAATAGAGAGCTCACCAGCGGAGACAAAAAGGCCATCTGCAGGTCTGTCCTGGAGAACCTCATCAAGGTGAGTTAGGCACCCCCTGGGCGGCCCAGACTCTGTGAAAAGCTTCACTGGGACTCCATGAGAATTGCGGAGGGCAGGGTGGTGGGTCTTCACCCATCTCATTGCAACTGTTTCCAAGATGTTAATCCATTTTCATACACCAGTGACTAAAGGAAAAGCCCTATCACCTACCTAGAGTGCATCCTAGCTTTTTTCATATCTCAGCACAGAGTGAAATTATTTGTACAGCCCACTGGGGTCCATGATGAGGCTGCTCCTGGCTAAAAGGTGCTGGCCCCAGATCTCTGGCTTCTCCAGTGCTCGAGCTCCATGGCTCAGCCCATCTGCCGACACCTGTACACATGCCTGGGGCTCTGTCCTGGAGCCCGGCACAGCCTGGCGCCAGCAGGGGGAAAAGTAGCTGCGCTTCTCCTACCTTCCTCGTTGCATAGTCAGCCTCAGGCCCAACCCCAGATGCCGTCTTAAATAAAGCAATGGATTTCATTTCAGTGGAAACAACCTGATCTCACACCTGACACTTGAAACTGGAGAACTATAATAGCAGAGCTATTGGGAGCCTTTTGTGATAAACATTTCATTATTTCTAGAGTTTAATGATTACAGTAAAGTATGATACTTAATGGTCTCAATAAAGGGTTAAATATATTTTTAAAATCTTCCCTTTAAGAAAGTAATAGAACTACATCAAAAAACTAATTTTCAAGTATTATTCTGCAAGGAAAATCTATTCATCTGCAGTAGCTCATTGCCAGATGACCAGGACTTAATGTCATGTGTTATTTTGTGAAAGTGGCTCAGTCACTCTCTGAGCATTGTCTCAGCTACTTAAGAATAGCTGTAGATAGTACAGAATATTGTGCTAAAGAGTCAGTAGAGAGGGAGAGCGTGACAATCTTGTTGATTAAAGGTTGCAGTTGGTTATTTGGACTCTGGCTAATTGAGGGTTTTGCCATGGTGCATCCATCTGTGGTCACATTTTATCTCATTTTTATGGATGAGAAAAATCTGTGTTCAAGGTCAATTGATTCTGGTTGACATGGAGCATCAGGAGCCTCTTCGTGTGTGGCCAGATCGCCACTTTCCTGGTGGCTTTTTCCAGACTAGAAAATGAAGCATGTGTACTATGGGTCCTAAGATACAAAAGGCCACCCCCCTACTCCCCCATCCCTCACCCTGGCTTTGCTAAAGCCTGAGCACCCAGGCTTGACCCTCCACTGTGAGGGCTGAACCACCTACCTTTGCTCCCTGCCCCCTCCTCACTGAGGGAGCCTCCCCAGCAGGGCAGTGAGGAGCAGGTGCAGGGAGAGAAACAGGCCCCTGCCCCTCCCTTCAGCCTGGCCATGGGGGAGACAGTCAGCAGCAGTCTAGCTGGACTCTGTGTCCCAGCTCAGCACAGCCGAGGCAGCACCGTCTTCTCTGTGTGGAGCTGGGTTTCTGCTAGCTGCGTAGGCTCTAGCCATTAAGAGTGGTGATTCTGCATTATTTCACAGCCATGTGTCAACATGAAACATTCCTGTGTGTGTGCGGTTTCCCAAGAACTTCGCCCATTACTTCCTGCTCCTTATGGTCTTCATGGCCATGAGCAAAAGCAGATGGAAGTTTGTTTACAAAGAGTGCTCCGTTATTGTGGGTTAACCATCAAGTATTCTATCCCAGGCTTGTCTACAAGCACACTTCTGGGTCATCTTTCTTCATCTACCTGGGTGAGCTCAGGGAAGGGCAACTAAATTTAATGTAAATAGATGTAATTAAGACAATAATTATATGTCACCCCCCCAAAAATCTCATAGCATAGTTTGAGACCAAGTAAAATTTACTTGGGGAGTTATTTGCAATCTGAAATTATTCAATCAACTATGTGGCCATTTGAGGATAATCTTTTAAAAATGTCAGCCAGATAGGTTCTTCCCTTACTCAGAACCCCCAGTGGCTTCCCCTCCAATTCTTTGGCCTTTGGTGATTAGTTCCTCCCACCACTCACCCTCACTTCTCCACACAGCCATCCTGGCTCTCCTGTTCCTCAAAAGACACAGCTTGTTGCCACCACAGGACATTTGCATCTGCTCTGCTCTTCTTCTAAACTCTCCTCCTCTAGGCTATCTTGTGGCTGCCTTCTTCACTCCATTCAGGTCTTTGCTCAGATGTTACCTCTGTAGAAATGGCTGCTTGATTATCCTATAAACAGCCCCATCCCACCCTCCAGCCTGCGGTTCTCTTTCTAGTCTTCACCTGAAAACATACTGTGTCTTTGTTTGCTAATAAAAAAACATACTTTGTCTTTGTCTTCTGTCCTCACCATGTCAATTGCTCTAGGGGAAGGCATCTTGTTCACTGCTCCATCCCAGACACACAGCCCAGGGCCTGTGCCATAGGTGGAGATGGACTCAGTGACCGTTACATGAATGCTGAGAGATTGTGTATCTGAGGAGCAGGGCGCGTGATCTCTGACAAAGGAATTCTGCACTGGAGGGGCTAGGGTGGTGAGCATGTTACCTAGTGGCTCATTGATGGTGAACTGCTCCCCTCCCTGTCTTGTAAAGGACCCTGACAAGTTCCAGTTTGGCCGCACCAAGATCTTCTTCCGGGCAGGCCAGGTAGCCTACCTGGAGAAGCTTCGGGCTGACAAGTTCCGGGCAGCCACCATCATGATCCAGAAAACTGTCCGGGGCTGGCTGCAGAAGGTGAAATACCGCAGGTTGAAGGGGGCTACCTTAACCCTGCAGAGGTACTGCCGAGGACACCTGGCCCGCAGGTGAGCCAAGCTGGGGCACATCTGGGCAGCAGATAGGGGTTGGGAGGCAGGGGCTAGGGACTGGCTGTCTTAGTTGGTTGGCTTCCCTCAGCCTCTGTACTTAGGGTGTTCATGTTGGGCCCTGTCTGCACCCTGACTTCTACCCAGCAGCTGGACCCACCTCGCTTATGCTCCTCTCACCTGAGGGAGTAGTTCTAGTTCCCAGGTCTCCTGGTTCCCCCAGTCTGTCCCTACCCACAGGTGCTAGCTAAGAACTGGCTGCTTTTGCCACAAAACTACCATTTTTCCTTTTGCTTAAACTCCAAAGTAAAATGATCTTTTAGAAAAAGTGATAAATTCAACCTTTCTGTCACAGTTAACTTATACTCAGCTTCAGATTTACACTACAAATTTCAAAGTCCCTTGGGAGTTTAAAATTAGGGCTGGAAAAGTCCTGGGAAGTCCCTTTTTGAGTTGCTGCACTGAGTCAGCACAGGGTGTGACTTGTCTAACCACAGGCAGCCACCTGGGGCCAGAGCCCAGATACTGGTCAGGCTCCCTGCCCAGCTTAACACCGTGCAGAAGAAACCTTGCTTTTAAACAGCCCCCTCCTAGTAACTGATGTCATTGGGTTGATGTGCTAAAGCCGTCTGGGTGTCTCCATTGAGATGGGCTCAGGGGATAGGGCCTCCTGTAAGACTCAGCCTTGGTTCAAAGTCAGCGACCTCTCCCATAGGGATTTCCTTGGAGAAGTGACAATAATTGCCATAAGGTCTTGCATTTGGAAGCCAATGCAATGTAGTCACCTCTGCTTGGATATGAAAAAACAAGTGAGCCCCTGAGTTATAAGCCCAGAACGGACGTCCTTTGTGTGGTAAACTTAGAAGCTTTCTCCTGCCCACCCTCACATCCTGGCAGTAAGCTCTTTATTCGAGCATAACCAGAGATGAGGAGCACCTTTAATTCTCTGGATCAAAAGCTATAGAAATGAGAGGATTGTCAGTAGTAGCAACACTACGTAATCATCGACAGCCTGTATCAGTGAAGTCATCACTGACAACTCTGTCCGTGAATCTGCCCTAGGCCTGTGTTCTCCCTGCAGGGAGTTTGTATTCTAGTGGCTACACAGGGCCCAGCTATGGAGAGAACCTAGGGGGAGCTGGAAATGACTCATTTCGGTGGGCTGGGTGGGTTTCCTCCCCTGGGGCTGCACTAGATAAGTTCCAAGTCCTTCTAGCTTTTAATAGTCTGAGTCTCCAAGTTGAGTACTTGCTATGAGTACTTTGCCAGCACCAAACCAAGCCCATAAGGGGATAGGAAGCATTAGACTGATGTTCTGTTTTACTGGGGGCTGTGATGGGGAAGGTGGAAATGAAACAGAGGAAAGTCAGTGCCCACGTGCAGCATGACCCAGGCAGAAAGGGCTGGGAGACAGGAAACGGCAAGGTAGGGCCAGCCCAAGTGCCTACTAGGCCAGGCCCTGTACTAGAGGTGGTGGTGGTTGGGGGGGGGCAAGGCTGATTGGGACACGGCCCCTGATATGATATCTCCAAGCCTAGTGAGGTCCAGGGGACAGAAATGTGAGCACATGATATGCCCAGGTTGCAGTGAGGGGCTTGCAGGTGAGGGAGTGGGCAGATGAGGTCACAGAGTTGGTCAGACTCAGACTGAGTTTTAAACTTGTGGAAAGATTTTGGATAACAAGAAAGAAGCTAACTCTGTGGATCTGAGCCTGAGCTTCCAGTGCCCAAGGCATTCCTATGCTCAGTCTGGATGGGAGACTTGGCTTGACCTGGGGTGTCCAGATGGGGTCCCGGGGTAGGGGCTTCATTTGTGGCCAGCTCAGAGGCCGTCAGCATGGCCCATCCTCTCCCTCCCAGGCTGGCCGAGCATCTGCGGAGGACCCGAGCGGCCGTGGTGTTCCAGAAGCAGTACCGCATGCGGAGGGCCCGCCTGACCTACCAGAGGGTCCGCAGGGCTGCCATTGTCCTCCAGGCCTTCGCTCGGGGCATGTTTGTGCGGAGAAACTACCACCAGGTGTGTAGCCACCCCGGGGGGACCTGGGCTGCAAACTCAGAACTCAGCAGCAGCAAATGAATTGTCACCAACGTGAACATTTGTTGGGTGCTCCTAAATTTTTTCTAAGCAATTTTATAACTTTGTTCTCACCAAAACCTATCCAGAGTCCCATGAGGAGGTGCATTGGTCAGGGTTCTCCAGAGAAATGGAACCAATAGGAGACATGCCTATCAGTGTGTGTGAGAGAGAGAGAATTTATTAGGAGGATTGGTTCAGTGGTTATGGAGGCTGCCAGGTTGCACTGCAGCTGGAGACCCAGGAAAGCCGGTGGCAATATTCGGCTCAAGTCTGAAGGCCTGAGAACCAGGAGCTCCCCATCACCAGTGCAGAACCCAAATCTGTTCAATGGAGAGGTGTCAGCTAGATAATCTTCAGGCCCCTTCAACTTTGAGGTTTTAGACTGGTTTCCTAACCAATAAACCAAAAGTTTAAAAAAAACACCATTAAACAACAACCAAAAAAAACCTGAAAACAAGGGTTTGACAGCTGCTTCCCTGCAGGCACGCAGGCTGCAGACCCTAGTGAAGACCTGTCCATAAACCAAATGGCCCTAAGTCTTAGGGAGGCATGTGTGTTCTGTATCTCCTAAGACTGAGGCCGGCCATGGTTCTCACCTCCCCCGGGCAGTACGTGAGCCTGTCCTGCTTCTGTCCTGCGGCGGGAACCCACCAGGTGTGTGCTTATCCCCGGCCAGGTCCTGCGGGAGCACAAGGCCACCATCATCCAGAAGCACGTGCGGGGCTGGACGGCACGCAGGCACTTTCAGCGGCTGCGGGGCGCAGCCATCGTCATCCAGTGCTCCTTCCGGAGGCTCAAGGCCAAGCAGGAGCTGAAGGCGCTCAGGATCGAGGCCCGCTCAGCACAGCACCTGAAACGCCTGAACGTGGGCATGGAGAACAAGGTGGTCCAGCTGCAGCGGAAGATCGACGACCAGGTGGGTGTCACCCAGGGCTTGGGGGCTGTGGGTGCTCTGGGGGTATGTTTGAGGGAGACCCACGGCTTCCTTGGGGAACTTCACACACCAGAGATTCGAGGGTGTGGCATGTCCTCAGGGTGTCACCCGCTCGGCAGGAACGGCTACTGACTACAGTAGGTAGAATAACAGCCCCAGAGATGTCCACGTCCTACTCCCTGGAGCCTCAGAACATGTTACCTTACACAGCAGAAGGGACTCTGCAGATGCGCTTAGGTTAAGGACCTGGAGTTGGAGATGTTATACGGGATTATTGGAGTGGACCCAGTATATTCACGTGTCCTCTTAAGAGAGAGGCAGGAAGGTCTGACTCAGAGAAGATGTGACGACAGACTCAGGGCTGCAGTGAAGTGGGGCCATGAGCGAGGTGTGCAGACCAGCTCTAGAACTGGAAAAGGGAACACAACGGGCTCGCCCAGGGAGCCTCCAGGAGGAGAACGGCCCTGCTGACCCCTTTTAGACGCCTGACTCCAGAACTAAGATAATAGATTTGTATTGTTTCAGGCCACTTACCCCGTGGCTAATTCATTAGCCTGAGTCACATGTTTCTGCCCTCGTGGGGAGTGGTGTGGCGTGGTGTGGCGTGGCGTGGCATGGCGTGGCGTGGTGTGTTGAGGGTTCACTGTGGGCCTCACGCTGGCCCAGGCTTTGTCTGTTTAAGTCTTTAGTTCTCACAACAGGAAGGTAAACAGTACCATCCTTTATTTTTTTTTTTTACTAGTGAGAAAACAGAGGACAAGTGACTTCCTCCAGTCACACAGGTGACAACGGCGGGGCCACGATTTGAACCCCAGCTGCCTGACTCCAGAGCCTGTTCTCTCCACCACTTTGCTCACCCATCTCTGTTGCGTTTCGTGGTGGGAAAAACACGTGCTTTGGAATTAGAAAGAATCTAATTCGATTTTAACTCTTCTGCTCAAACATTGAGTGACCAATATAACCACCCTGAGCCTCAGTTTCCTGATCCGTATAATGGGGCTGATAGAGCTGTAAGAAGCTAAGTTGATCCGACACGTCTGCAGGGCCTGGTATGCAGTAGAGAACTCAGGAAATGGTCACCATTGATACATTTAAGGTTTTTTTCCTGTGTCTTCCTACCCTGGCCACCTTCCCCTGTCAGTGAGTCACACGAGTGAGAAGTTGTTGATCAAGTTCCTGTGAGTGTGGGCACTGTGCAGGGTGCAGTGAGGGACAGACACTGGGCACCCGGTGCCCTCCATCAGGTTGGAAAGATGAGGCGTGAACGTGTGTGCACACACACCCATACACCCACTTTTTGGTGCCCCAAGTGGCCAATCTTCCTTCCTCTCTTCAGAACAATTTTATTGACAGTTTCTGGTGCTTTGTTGGGCTTGGTGAACAGAGGATGACTTCGACACACATTGGGTGCTGTGTCACGGGGGAGCAGTCCTGCGCCGATGGGGCCAGCCGCCCCCACTGCCCTAACAATTCTCTGATCGCCTACCACGTGCCAGGCCCTGTGATAGGTGTTTTATGTTCCCTCTCGTTTGATCCTCACACAACTTTGTGAGGTCATTTTACAGATGATGAAATTGTGGATTATTAGGGATATCAAGTACCTTGCCAGGGTCACAGAATTAGTAAATTCTAGAACCAGCATTCCCAGCCAGGTCTGTCTGATCCCACAGCAGTAATAATGTTTTAACCCCACAATTACTAAGTATCCGTCCTTTCCTGTGTTATTGCTAAATTGGGTTCCTAGAGTTGCAAGTAGGCTCACTGTTACTTTGTTCGTGCAGGGTATTAAGATGACCACAGGACCAGGCGCCTGCAGTTCCCGGAGGGTTGTAGCTGCCTCCTGACAAAGGAAAGGGAGAGGGAGGGCGAGAACCAACGGGTGCGCATGGTGCGGGGTGTGGAGAAAGGGGGAGAGTTAGAGTTGGGGCCGCCAGGCATTGCTTTGGGGGTCACTTGGTTTTATTGTGCCTATTCTACACTAAGTATTTTTAAGCTTCTCATGACCTCAATAAGGCAAGAAAATAAATGAGCCATATTATACCATAGCCAGCTGCCCAGAATAAGAGCCTCAAAGCAGTGCAAAGACAGCAGGAAAAATGTTTCTGCTTTTCTGCTCCTGAAAAAAAAAATCCTGACAAGAGACTGTCCCCCTGGATGTTTCTGCGCTCTGTATGAGTTTCACTGGGTGTCTGAATTATCTTGGCTCCTTACTGGGCAAGGAAGACAGAAAGCTCAGTGCGGCTACGTAGAGGACACTCAGCACCTGCCTGCAGAGATGTGCAAGGTCGGGGAGAAGGCACATCCACCTAGAGGGACGGGAGGGGACGGGAAGAGGTCTGCTCTCTGGGACTGGCCATTTGAAAAATGCCAGCACAGGGATGACCAAGTTGTTCATTATTGCTATTGGGGCTGTTGGTACCTGACTAGAAAAGATATTTGGGTCAAATTTTGCCAATGAACCTTCTGAGCAAAGTCTAGTCAAAGGAACAAGTAGGCTTTGTTGACACAGCCGCACCCAGCCAGGAGCCCTGTGCACCACCCACCACCTCAGCCCTGGGTTTCCGGTCGTCAGCCCTGCATTGGCTTTGCTGATTTCCAAAGTTGACTTGGGAGTTTAAAAATAGATCTAGTATTTTACAATCCACGTGCTTGAACATCAAAGAGAAGCAGATTTAAGAGGCCTATTTTTAAAAAGAGCTTTTGCCTTAAGCTTCCTGCTTGGCAAGCATCTGTGAGTGGAGGCAGGTGTTCCCAACCTGGGCAGGGCGCCTATGTACAGAGGGTGGTCAGAAGAGGCCGGAAGGGTAGATTAGATCTTGCTTTCTTGCACCCGTGTCACCCTACTATGTACCAGGCATTATTCAATCCTCCTCATAACCCTATAAGATAATACTATTCACAGTTTAAACTGAGGCACAGAGAGGTTAAATAGCCTGCCCAAGGTCACACAGCAAGTAGCATGACTGGGACTAAAATTTGGCAATCTAGTTGCAGTGCGTGTCTTGCTACCTCCAACCAATGCAGACAAGATTGTCCTTGGCCTGGCTGCCTCTGCCAGTCAGGTCTCTGACCTGGTGTCACAGAACACGCTTGACCCTCTGTTGTAGAAGGAGACATCCGCATAATCTGCAGCACCAGCTCTTCAGAGATTCTTGAATTACTGCAGTCTCTTAGCAGAGGGGCCAGCCATTTGGAAGTGGATGGGTTTCTGTTCTTTCTGTACTGCCTGGAACAACTCAGGCTGCTCCCCTGACACATAAGGATCCTTTGTCAGAAGGAGAGGATACAAGTGTGTCAGGGATGACATAGACAAAGGTGTCTCAAAGTATTTTTCAGAGCAGGACAAGGTAGTGGACAAGCTCCTAGCTGGACGGAGGCCTGAGTTCTGTCTCAGTTATACTTGCAACCAGAGCTGACAGTTTGGGGTCATGGCCAATCTCCAGCTGAGCCCTGAGTTCTTCGGAGGGGGGAGGGGTTTGGCCTAAGATCTCTAAGGTAACTCTTAGCTCAACAATGCACTGATAGCATGATGTGGCTAAAGGAGTGGTTCCCAACTCTGGCGGAGGCGGGGGGGG